TCTCCCTCTCCCGCTCCCCCTGCTTGTGTTCCCTCTCTCGCTGTGTCTCTCTCTGTCAAATAAATAAATAAAATCTTTAAAAAAAAAAAAAAGATATAAAGAACCAAAAGGAAACTTTAAGACTAAAAAATACAGTAACTGAAATTTAAAAAACAAAAAACAAACAAAAAAGACCACCCTGTATGGGCTCAAAAGCAAATTGGAGAGGACAGGAAAAAAAGTAAACTTGACAAAAGGCTAATAGGAATTATCCAACCTGAACAATAAAAGGAAAAAATTGATTAAAAACTGAACAGAGCCTCAGGAACCTGGGGGACAATCACAAAAGATCCAAAGTTGTTATTCAAATCCCATTAAGGACACAAAGTGCTTGAAAACAATCTGAAGAAAGAACAGCTGAAAAGGTCCTAAGTACAGCAAAAGATGAAAACTTACAGATTCAAACAGAACCCGACACAGAATAAACTCAAAGAAATCCCCACAGCCAGACACACTATACTCTACTGCTGAGAGCTAGACTGGGAGAAAAAAAAAATCTTCAAAGCAGCCAGAAAAATGATGCATTTTCTATGCGGAAACCATTTGCATGGCTGCAAATTTCTCATAGGAAACCACAGAAGCCAGAGGAAGGGCATGGCATTTTTAAAGCGTTTTAAAAAAGAGCTGTCAACCCAGAATTCTATATGCAATAAAAATATCCTTCAGGAATGAAAGTGAAATCGTGACACCGTTGGATGAAGGGAGACTAAGGGGATGTGTCACCACCAGACCTGCTTCAAAAGAATGGCTAAAGGAAAGGCTTCAGCGGGAAGGGAAATGATATCGGAAGGAGACTTGGAACCTCAGGAATGAAGGAAGAGCAACCAAAATGGCAAGTCTCTGGGTAAATAGAATAACAGACTATTCTTCTCCACTGGAGTTCTTTAAAATGCATTTGAGACTTGAAAGCAAAAATGAAAATATTGCCTTTTTGGGTTCTGAGTGTATGGAGACGTACTATCTCAGACGACCAGAACGTAAAGAGATCGAGTGATAGGGTTTCTACATTCTACTTGAAGTGGTAGAGTGTTAATCCAGAGCTCTCAGTGAACAGATGGGTGGCTGGTCCCAGGCACATTCAGCCCCATCCATACCTTGTAAAGCTCCCCATCAATTTTTCATCTAATGCTTTCAGGAGCCACTGATGATCCATTTCTTCACCAGGGTTACAAAACAGATACTCTAATCCTCTCATTCTTCCATGTTAGTTGGTATTCTTCAATTAAAAAAAAAAAAAAAAAACCCTTTCCTATCTGTTGGCTATTTAATTACTCACAAGTACAAAGCATCTAGGAAAAGGAGGATAAATGCTGGATTCTCTCCTTTTATTTACCAGTTTCAAAATAGTGAATTAGAACCCGGTATTTTTAGATGTTAGATATGCTAGAGGGAAATGCTGGCTTAATCCCCAATGATTGAATTTGGAATGGATATAATTAAGTCATTTAGACAATTAAAGACCAATATCCAAACATTTAAATCAGACAGCATCTTTAATATGGCAGAGAATATGCAGAATGGTGCAATCATTTAGAATGTATGTACTAGAATGTATCACACTTGCTTTTTATTGCCATTGAATTATTCTCTAGTATGTACATATGAATATATATATATATATATATATATATATATATATATATATAAAATTCCCCCCTTAGATTATAAGATCCCCATGGACAGCAGGAAGCTAAGATCAAGCTGATACACACTTACTAAAGGACTTAGTGAAATATAAAACAAGTACATCCTTGGACATCCTAAGCCAAAGGCAAAATGCTAGTAAATAGGGTCTTCCTCTTCATCACTCACAGCTTCGTTTTAAGTCACCAGGGGTTTTCAAAATCAATTACCCCTTGCCAGCCACCACACTGAACGCTTTTCAGGTACCACCTCATCTAATTGCCACAACGACCCAGGAAGCAGGCTCTTGGTGTCCCCAATTCATGAGACGAGGACACCACTCTGCAAGGAGATTATAAAGCACAGCCAACCCAGCTTAATCAGGGCAGAACACAAACCTGGGGCCAGGCTTTTCAGCTCCAGAGTCATTCTGCTCAATCAGGCTGCTACCTAGTGAGTGCCTGCCTCCTCCTGCTAAGGTGGGTTTCTGCTACTCTACTCTCCATTCAGCAATCTAGCCATATTTCTGCCATCTGGGAGCCAGAAGATGAAATAAGGCAAAAGGAGAAGGCACACGGGAGAGTTATATATGATACTCCTCGTCCCCACTGCGTGGGCACAGCGACTATTCCCTGCAAAGGCATAAATAACAGGGGACATGGTCCCCCTCCTCTTCAGAGGCTTATACCAGAACCAACAGGGTAAGGGAAAGTCAGTTTCTCAAAGCAATCACTGAAGTCATTACAACATGTTTTGAAGAAAAATTAATAACATAAATAACAATTACATGAATAACGACAACAATCCTAATGAATAACATGTACGTGTATATACACGTACGCATACATGCATACATACACAGAGAGAGAGGGAGGGAGGCAGAGAGACACAGAAAGGCCTGGCACAAAAAAGGCCACATCCGAACCAGGTGCCATTCTGGGCAGTTTCATTTTCCCTTACGCTTTTTTATATTTTGCAAGTTCCAAAGCCATTTGCTGGGAGAGCTGATACGGCACAAAAGGTCCCGGGGAAGAGAAGCCAGAAGGTCACTGACGCTGCTGTGTGTGAACTGGTTTTGGATACAGAGATGCTGGCCAGGAAGGGACTGCGTGTCTCCAGGCCATGGAGTGGGAGCTCCACACCAAGACTGCTAAGAGGCGAGGGGGCGGGGGGGCAGAGAGAACAAGAGGGGGCGTGTGTCTGTCTGTGTGGTGCCTTGGAATATTATACAGCAAATAAAAGGAACTGGGGCAGTCCCACAAGACAAGGAGAACTTTAGCTTTCTATACTATATGGGCTTTTTTTTCAAAAATATTTTCTTCCGATATATATAAAAATACATCAACATCTTTTTAAAAATCTTTCGAAGTGGGAAGGAAAACCAGCACATCAAGCCAGGCTGTTGAGTGGGACAGTCCATCAGAGGAGGGGGCGAAGGAGCAGAGAATCGACTCTGCCCCTCGTGACCTGTGGGACCCTGGCTGAGCTCCCCGACGTCCCGACACTTCAGATGCCTTATCTATTGATGAGGACCACACACCTGCACCTGCAAAGCTATTGTCGGAGCAGAAAACAAAGTATGGCCCAGGCCCAGAGCACTTCAGAGAGTCCCCACGAAATGGGAGCTGAGCGCTTACATGTTTGCACAAGCAGGATGCGGGTAAGGAGAGAAGACACCCGAGCTCACGGGAGTGAGGAGCACAGGGAGGAGAGGGGCGGCGCCCGAGGCACCGGGCCCAGCGGAATGAACAAGGGAGGGCGGCCGGGCGCTCCTGGCACTTACTGCAGTTCTCTTCGTCGCTGCCGTCGGGACAGTCCTCAAACCCATTGCACTGGAAGCGGCCGATGATGCAGTGGATGCCACTGGCGCAAGGGAAGAACGTCGGGCCACATTTGGACTTAGCCTTGGCTGTAGGAGGCAAAACAGGACAAAAAGCAGGTCATGAGGAGCTTACGTTTTCTGACCCCTGGCATACCCATCCCACCAACTGAGCGTGCAAAGGGGTCCCTTCACATTTCCCTTGAAGTCCCCAAAGATCTCTTACCACCCGCCACCCACTGTCAACGCCCAGCCACACTGGGAGCCCGCACGCAGCATCCTCGAGGAAGGCGGTGGCTAATCCTGCTGTGCTGACATGGACCCTGCACAAAGAAAGGCTCAGCCAGAATGTGCTGCACAAAGGAACGAACGGGTGAGCCGAGGGGTGATGGATGCAACCTACTCTGAAGGGGCTAAGGAACCATTCACAATTCATTCCCTGACTGTCAAATTAATTGTCTGCATTTAGTAAGTGTTTCCCATTCTAGGCAGCGTGACCAGAGCTTTCCGTGGATGCCCTTACTCAATCCACCCAGCAACCACCCAGTGGCAAGGTGTGCAGAAAATAATTAACACCACCGGATGGAGACGGCTACCCTGCAAAGAGGCTTGCTTGCCTGCAAGGTTGGCCCTCGCGTGGCTGACTTCCGGGAACTTGGATTTCGGGAAGGTTCGCACCATTCTCTCCTAAGAACGGCTCCCTGTGCCTAAACTGTTTATTCGAACGGTGCAGTTTATGCTGAACACCTGCTTTTCCTCTGGCAGTTTGGGGTTGTGGTAGATGCTGGGCAGACAGCGCCTGCGTAACCAGCCCCCACTAAGAACCCCGGGCACTGAGTCTGTAACAAGCTTCCCCAGGAGAAAATATTTATCACACGCTGTCACAACTTGCTGCTGGGGAATTAAGTGCATCCTGTACCACTTCACTGGGAGAGGACTCGAAGTTTGATCCTGGTTTCCTCTGGCCTTCACTCCATTTGTCTTTTCCCTTTGCTGATTTTGCTTTGTGTCCTTCCACCATCGTAAGTCATATGACTATATGCAGAGTTCATGGAATCCTCCCAGCAAATCACTGATCCTGGGGGCAGTCTTGGGGACCGCTGACAAGGATGGGTATGGTTCTTATCCCAATGTCAGAGGTGTGCTTTGAGGGGTAAAGTGACTCGCCCAAAGCCACACAGTTAGAAGATGGGACACTGGGGTGAGGCCCTTGGCACTAGACTCCAGAAGCCAAGCTCTCTGCCAGTCTGTCACTTCTCACAACAGAAGCCAGACTCCAGTTCAGAGAAATTCTTCTTCCACTCCTGCTGTACAAACAGTTTTAACCGAAGCTGCTGTAACTCGGGACTGACTGAGTGTCCTGCTAACCAAACAGCCCTGCGGGGTAATGGGCTTTCCCGGGAACGGTGACGGCTGCTCTAGCTTGTGATTACAGGGTGTAAGATCAGATCTATTGCTGCATCCCAGGTAACAGGCCCCGACTAGCGTTCCTCTCATCTCCTGCCATAGAGGCAGGACCCATGGTCCTCAAGAAGGAAGGGACATTTCTTGGGAACAAACAGGTAGTACATTACCTTCATGTTCCTGTCATCAGGAACATGCCAACTTTGGCAAGCGTGATCCACAATCAACAGGGTTTTAAGGCCTGGGACGTGCCTAGGTTTTAAAAACTCCCAACACTTTGTTTCAGCCTGGAACTTCTGTAATGGTGAGGGTGCGCTCTTCAAAACCACAAACTTGGGAGACAGTGTCTGGGTTCAAATTGTGGCTCTACTTTTTATGAACTTGGGCAAGTTTCTAAATATTAGTGAGTCTCAGTTTCCTCATCAAAAAATTGGAGGTAACATTTACCACCCAGGGCTCTAGGAAGGATTCGATGAGATAATCTATACAAAATGCTTCTTAGCACAGACCATGGTATACAGCAGATGCTCAATTAATGGTAATACTTATGCTATTTATCATCGTCATCATCAGTTATAGAATTTTAAAAATTACTTCTTGGTCTGCTAATTTTTTTTCCTGATCGCCAAAGTTAAAAAAGCTCATTATGGAAGATCTCTATGAAGTGATACGAAATGATCTCCAGGATATACTGTTAAGTGTGGGGGGGGAAGCAAAGTGCAAAAGAGTATCTATAATATTTTAACCCTCTATATGAGCAAAAGAGAGGGATATAAGAAAATCTACATGGATTGGTTCATCTGTGCAGAAGAAACACAGGAAGGACAAACCAGAAACTAAAGAGCCTGGTTATATACAGGGGGTGGAAAAGGGATGGAAAGAACGGAGAAATGAGATTGGAACGAGGCTGCGGGATGAGTCTATATAGCTCTGACTCTTAGAACCCCAATATTTCACACACCCAAACAGTAAAAAATTAAAATCATCCACACGGATGTATGTGTGCAGACACTCAAAATATGAAAGAAACAGCAAAAGTGAATGTGAATGGATTATAGATGAGTAAGCCCACCACACTGAAGGCTGTGGGGAAGAAGAGAACCAGCCTAAGTAACTCGGGAAACCGTTATTTTGCCTGGATTCCATACGGCTAAGGAAAAAGAGAATTGTACACAAATAGGGCACTCTACTTTTATTTGTCACAGGGTTATGGACTAGCAGTTCTGAAACTACTTTGTGTGTACTAGGACTGAACAAATAAGTAAATATATTGCAAATAATAACCGTGAGGTTTTCACTCTCAGAGGAAGAAGTTAGAAATAAGGAAAGTGGAGAGGCTAAATGAGGCTTTGGACTGGAAGTAAAGGCATCAGTATGAAGTCAAGATTTGTAAAGATAGATAGATAGATAGGCAGAGAGACATACAGATAGGTAAGAGAGAGAGAGACAAATATTTATAGAATTTTTTAAAAGATTTAATTTTTTGAGAGAGAGAGAGAGAATAGCTCGTGAGAGAGCACAAGCAGTGAGGAGAGGGAGAGGCAGACTCCATGCTGAGCAGGGAGCCTGATTCAGGTGGGGCTCACTCCCAGGACCCCGGGGATCATGACCTGAGCTGAAGGCAGACATTTAATCGACTGAGTCACCCAGGTGCCCCAAGAGAGAGAAATATTGATCTGGTGTGTGCATGGGTCAGCATACATACATATATTTTCTAGTTCCATCTGCTAAGAAAGATGAGAAGCAATACACTCCAGTAGCAAATGAGCACACCCAGCACCAGATCTTGGTTTCTAAATACCATTATCCAATAAAGGGAACCAGGGCTCCTTGGAGAAGTGGTTAATTCCAGGGGGAAATTCAAGATGAACCTGGAGTGTCTTGTGTTGCCAGAGAGTAAAGAAGTGCTCAAAATATGATGGAGGCATGTGAGGACACAAGAGTCAACCTGAAGGAGCTCCCCAATGGCCAAAGCTACAACACTTGAGTGACAAAATAATGACAGTTTTGGACTATACCCCAGAGAATACAATAAATATCTGTGAGTCCATCCGGCATCATAAATCGTTGGATAAATAAGTAAATGGGGAAGAAGGGAAGTATTTCCTTATAGAAGAATTCCAATGGTTAAACAGAGAGTGGATGTGGGAAATAGAAAGTCACCATTTAGCAAACACCACAGTAACTATGGTTAGAGGCAAGACCCAGCGACGGATGCTCACACGAGAGGACCAGCAGGCCTTGCTCTGGCCACCCTTTCGGGGCTGCTGATCGGCTGCTTATAGGCTTGGACATCTGAGAGCTGTTTCCTCGTAAACCTCCATTCACAGCGTCACCGCAGCTTAACAATGCCTAAAGTCCCTATCACAGCATCATGCAGCTCTGGACACCTCTTTAGGGCACAGCTACCTGGGGTCCCTGCCTGGCTACGCGGGCCTCCTTGCTCCTTCAGGAGCTGTCGCACACAGTCCCACCTCGGGACCTGCATGCACCCTGCCCGTCCCCCTCCCAGGGTCGCAGGGCCCATGCCTCCACTTACTCAGACACTGGACTGTGGACCCAGAAAGTCGGACTCCCACCCTCTGTCTCTCTAGCCCTCCTTCTGCTTCTCCTTCTTTTCCTTCCTAGGAAAGGACATGACTTTGTGCTGTGCTGTTTGAATGATGACCATACACTCGTTTAAATACTTTCGTTCACCACTTTCAACGGAGCTGTACCACACAGTGCCAACACCAGGGAATATATACTTGCTGAATACACAGATGAGCCTGTAAAAGAGAGTGGGACTGGGTAACAGTAGCTAGCTGGCTGAATGTTGACTATGGGTTAAGCATTATGCTCTGGGTTTTACAAATATCACCTCGTTTACTCCTCACAAAAACCTATTTCACAGATAGGAGAGCTGAGGTCCAGAGGTGAGGGCGCTTGACACTGCTAATAAACAGAGTCAAGGCTCAAACCTTGCTCTTGACTCATCTGCTCCTCTGCCTCTTTAGATATTTCTAAGCCCCAGTCCAGCTCCAAAGGACTAGGCTTTAGAAGACAAAGAAAAAGAATATGAATAATTATAAATGAATTAGCTACCCTTCAATTAACCAGCTCTTTGGCCCTGCCCCCTTTTCAAGAATGACTAATGAGACCTGCTGCCTCATCAGCGGTCTCGGTCAGAGGCAGCCGTCCTGTTACGATTTACACCTGCGCCATCGGACTCCTGCTGAGGCAACCTGTGAGGCGGATCACAGCACCTGGCTGAGGCTGTGAGAGAAGCCAGCCGCTGACAGCAGTCCTCCCCTGGCCGCCGTTTCCCCGAAGGGGGGAGATTTCAACGTGAAACTCAGCAGCCCCTGGCAGAAGGTGGGAGGCCTACTATGCCTAATATCACCCTGACGAAGGTGGGCAGGGTGCCTCCAGGCCATCACTATTTTTCGAGGACCTGCTCCCTGAACTTTCCAGGGAGGCAGCTTTCACCAGTGGGAGGAAAAGAACCAGCGCTCTCCTGGGGGTGGGTTTCTTTCCCAATCCGTGTCCTCTCCCTCGTTAGAGCCTGATTGTCACAGTTCTGCTTTTCACGGATCCGTAAATTTTAAAAAAAATAAAAAAAAGAGATGGGGGTGCATCAAGGGCTAAAACAGTTGCCAACTTTTTATTTTGCCAGCGAGGACACACACCAACACATCTGCAATCATCTCTGCTCACTCTTGTCCTCCACGGAAAGCCGCTTTAGCCTCCAAAAGGCAGGACAAACAACACAAGAGTCCTCGGACCAGTACTTGGGGATTATGTCAGGACTAGAGGGGAACCAGGAGACGTCCCCGTGTGGCCACGCGGTGAGGCCCGCAGAACAAAGACCCGATCCTTGCAGGCACAGCTTCGCTCAGTAACTAATTCTCACTTTTCACAAAGGAGAAAACTGAGGCCCAAGGAGGCAGTCTGAGCCTTGCCCAAAGTCACACAGCTATTTAGGATCAGACTGGTCTAGAATCCAGTTCTCAGTCCCCGAGTCTAGCCTCTGTCAATTACAATATGCTTGAGGCAGGGTGCCACTGAGTCACGCGCTGCCAAATCCCATCCCGGGGATCAGATTTGGCCGAGATCCCATGAGGCTGAAAGCCCCTCTACCACGTGGCAAGAACTCTCCAAGCCGTGGAGAGAAACGCTCTGGACCAGGCATCAGGCCTGTGGCTCCCAGTCAGCCCCAAAAGGGCTCAGGGCTGCTCACTGGTCCTGGAGGATGCGGCGCTGTGGCGTCCGTGGCTACCAGCCCAGACCCTCCCCAC